AGTGACACAAATTTATGATGAATTTTGAAATTATCACTATAATGCATTACAATTATGACAAAATTCTAATATTAATCACATATACCTTACACATTCAATGATGACCAAATAATTTATCACTAAAAATATATTTTGTCATTAAAAATTATCAGTTTTCTTTAATTAATTTTGATATGAATTAAATTCCTAACAAGTGTTATAAGAGCTTAAGAATAAAGAAATTCCCAACACACTCTCTGTATCTCTCGCAAGAGTTTTTTGCATTTTTTTGAGGCATCCTCCTAAGTTATGTTAATGGTTATCAAGTTGTGCTCTAATTATTGAAGAGTGGGTGTCATGGCAGGGGTCGGATGAGGAGTAGCATTCGCCTCAATTGTCATTGACATTGACTCGCAGTGTGGGTGGGGGCTATTATTAGTCAATATACTATTCTCACAAGAATCTAACGGTGCATATGTGATTACTAGGTAACTCCAGATGTTCAAAGGGTAACCGGCTTTTTTTTTTCCTGAAACGAGGGTAATCGTTAATTTTTGTGTCTACATGCTCAATACACACTCCTTTGACAAATAGTAGTAGTGGATGATCTTCTGTTCTTCTAATTTTTTATTTGTAGTAGGGGTATTGTCTTGTATTGTGAGGGCTATATGTTAGTTTCTATTTGTAATTTTTATTTATTAATTAATGAAATCTCTTGCTTCTTAAAAAAAAAAAAAAAAGATTCATTGAAAATATATAAATATTTTTATAATTTTAACTAAAAAAAAAAGAGATTTGAAAACATTATTTTAGAAAGATGATATAATTTTGGGTTAAATCATTATTTATTTTAGTTTGTAACTGCAGTCTTGACTTCCTACTCGTGACAACGATTTGTGTACAACTAAAAACAAGCATACAGCTGCAGATGTAGGGATGACAATGAACCTCCACGCATAAAGACCCTTTCCTTATCTTTATCCTTGTTAATGTCAGGGATGAGACATCGATGGAGACTTTTGATGAGGGTTAAAAATGCCTTTCGCCTCTATATCCATGGAGAGTAATAAGTTTCTGCAGGTATATGAATTTTTCATCAAATATTAAATATATAATTTTTTTTTTTTGTAAATAAAAAAAATAAAATTTTGAAATAATTTAAATAAATAAATATACTATACATATAGTCCAACAATGTCTAGTTACAATAAATACATATTGTTATGCTATATGGATGACGATTGATTTATTAAATTGGGTTTGGGGAAGATTGAAATAAGAATTGAGTTAGGCAATTTAAGTTGAGTTAAATTAGTCCATTAAATTAGATGAGTAAAAATTAAATGATAATATATTTATAAAAATATATAAGATTAAATTTATATCTTTTATTGTATGTATATGAATCCTTACCATGCCGTGGGACGACGGGAATATCATGTGAAAGTTAAAATTAAAAAAATAATAAATAAATAAATAACCATTCTGCAAGCTAGGGTTGGACGTTGAGCATTTTTTGTTGTAACTGCAACCGATTTAACGATTAATCGTATGATCGGTTTTTAAAATATAGCAACCGTGAACCACATTAAATTATTACGGTACTTAAATATTCGGTTATTTTTATTTTATAATTTTTGGTGTTGGTTACAGCCCGAGGCTTGATACTTAGCATTTTTAACTTTCTTTTCAGATTTCAATAGCAAAATTCTAGATTAAAATCAATAATAATCTCGTATTATAAACTTAAATTTGAAAATACAACTTCTAGTAAATAGGTTTCATACAAACAAAGCAATTAATAACACAAAAATAAAACTGATCTCTACAAAAATATTAAGTCAAAACAAATCCAAGCTAAAAGCTTATAGTTGAATTGACAAATCGATGCTCTTCACTACTAGTCTTCATGTGAACATAATAAGATAATCACACTACAATTTAGATAAAAAATGAAGTTAACACAAGCAAATATTATCATCAAAACAAATGGATTCATTTTAAAGTTAAGGTTTTCTAACAAATAATGAGAATTTAGTTAAAAAATAAGGGATTGAAATTTTAGATAAAAAATTTTTAAAAATGTTTCACATATAGTTAAAAAGAGAAGAGATTTATACCTTTGGTTTTGAGCAATTCCCTAATTGAAAGGAATGGGTAACAGAATTTATGAGAAAGGGACAACAAGGATCAAGTTGATAATTTCAGCGGCAACCACAAAGTGGCTCACCATCGACCACCACCTTTGTTGATAGATACAAGAGAAAGAGAGAGTAGGAAGTTCTGAAGTTGAGATCAAGAACAAAGAAAAAGGAAAGATGAAAATGGCTGTTTTGTGGTTTACTCTCATTTTTATATTTAGGGTTTTTTTCTAGTTGCTAAATTACTAATTTGCCCTAAAAAAATCTAATAAAAGGCAACTAATGCAATCTGGGCACAATTTGGGCCGCAAGATTGGGCGGGATAACAAGAAACAAGGCGAGATTGTGGGGAAATGGAAAAAAAAATTATAGAAAAGTAAAAAAACAAAATAAAAAACCGTCAGTTGCTTGGGCCTACTCATGTGGTTGCCGGTTGTTGGGCCCAAGAGCCGACAACCGCCTTCTTGGACCCTTGGTTACAACCGCAACCAAGGCCCAGCTCAACCAATCACAAGAAAAGCCCGACTTACCGGTTACGGTTGCGGTCCTAATTCCTAAACGCCCAGCCCTACTCCAACCTCCATCTTTGCGGTGGGAAGGATCCCCGCAAAGGTCTGCCGGGTCGGAGAAGTTTCCCTCCCATATGCAGCACCAACAGCGGACTACGATACATGAAACAATTATTGGGTGTGGAGGCCCAACCCGAAGTTATGGACCGATCAGTTTATACCATTACTCGGTTGGAGACTGAGATTTAATATAAGGATAAAACTGTTTTAAACCTTTTTTAAATAAGGATATTATTATTTTTTACTAATCAAAACTAACACATTTAAAAAGTTTTTAATTAAAAATATGACTTATAATTTTTAAAAAAAGAATTAAGTAGATATATAAAGTCATATTTTTAATTTGATTTTTTTAAATGATAACTCTAATTAATAATTAATTGATGAAATTTTATATTTAAGGTTCATTAATCGCTAGCTATCTAAGAAGCTTTCGTTGGAAGACCCACCCACCATTCTAGTGCGCCACAGCTGGTCGAGTCCGGAGTAGTCAGGCGAAGCCCCAAATACGGGTGAGAAACCAAAAAAAAAATAAGCATGCTTATTTATGTGTTGTAATTATAGTTTTAAAATAAGTGTATAATAAAAATCAATGTATTAAATAATATTTTAAAATAAAAAAGTGGACAATTAATTAAAAACTACGACAATTAAACTTGAACAAAAGTAGTACCAAGCAAAAACTACATCTAGAAAAATATTTCCTCATAAAAAGAAAAGAGAAAAACTTTTAAGTCAATATTTATTTGACATGTTAAAATTTCACCTAAACTTTGACTTAAAAATTAGAAAAACAAATTAGAACTACCATTGTTGAACGGATGCAGGTGTTAAAATTATGTAAACAGACTTTTCTGCGTCTACTTAAAAAAGATAGTAATACAAATATGATTTTTTTATATAACTTTCACATAAATAGATATGTTTAATATCATAAATTTCAAATAAATAAAAAAATTAATTATTTAAATGAGAAATAAGATTATACTAAAAAAATAATACAAAAAATATTATTTCTAAATCATTTTTCAATTAAAAATTTATTAATCTTAAAACTCCTAGCCCAATGTCTCAAGTTCGATCTTCAAGATAAGTAACGAGAGAATTAAAAAACATGATGACTATCTTTTGTTTTATGGTGCACTCATCCAACGAACCAAAATAAAATACCTACAATCAATCCCTTGGCAAACCACATCCACGGACTAATACATCTCCCTTGCTCCTGTATGGAAGAAGGAAACCAGATTGGCAAACAGAAACAGGAAACTGGATATTGTTTCCATCATGGGGTAGGGAACTGGAAGGGAAAAGAAATACCAGAGATTGAAGGAAGAAAACAAAGAAGTCTGATATTAAATCAAAGTGATCCTACAAGAATAGTCTTCAAGCTTTTTCTTTAAACATGCATTCACACACGAAACATTATCACACATTTTAAACAGAAATGGGATCATTGCAGTGGAAATACACGATATAACTAATAGCTAGCAGGCAAAGACGATTGAAGGGTCACAACAACACTCGTCAATGAGGAAACAGCAACACAAAGCCGCGAGACTGTAACAGCAAATTCAACCCAAAACACCAAAAGATTACAATGACAATAGAAAATAAAGAAAAAGGAGATATGATGTGCAGAGTCTCAGAAACATGGTAGGAAGAAAAATTACCATCCTTCAAGGAAACCCGGCTCTCGCCTGGGTGGTGGTGCTGCGTACTGTGGAGGTGCCATTACTGGGGGTCCTTGATAATACCCTGTCACCAAAAATTTAAAAAAAAAAAAAAACCAAATTTTACAGAATTAATCAGTACCCAAAATGGAAACTTTAGAGCAGAAGAAAGAAAAGCCCAATAAAACCCAGAAATCCTTGACAACAGAGAACCCCATACGCAAATCATTATAGCTGAACAATTATAAAACTAAAAAAGCATCCTAATTTGAAAAATCTACAGTTCATTCCCTAAGAAAAAACGATTTTTTTAAAAACAACAATAATTAAACTAAAAAATCAAGGGTTGATTAATCGTACTGCAAGATCTGAAGAAAAAACATCAGAAAGGCAAAATTAAGAATCAAAAGGAAAAGGGGAATAAATTACCTTGCGCAGGATAGGGTTGAGCAGGATAAGGTTGAGCAGGGTAAGGTTGAGCAGGGTAAGGATAAGCATACTTAGGGTCACTCATATCTGCAGAGGAAAGGAACACAGAGAACAAAGAGCCAAA